ATCGCTGATAAGTGGAGTGTTATAAAAGAGGTCTTGCAACTGGCGTCACGTGCGCGGTATTCGCACCAGCACATAGAGTTCTGCTGTGAATGCCGTAGTCAAGTAACCTGGAAAAACTGCTAGTTTAATGCCGCACACGCCGCCGTATCTGAAGGAGATATTGCATAGGCCTGGTGAGCTGTATCGCCTCTGAGTGACCGAGTTTTCCTTTAAATTTTTGGGAGAATGAGCTGTTAAGAAAAGATACAAATTGAGTGGCTTCATTCCGCTAAGGTGGAGAAATGTTAATTTATCAATGTAAAATTGTCGCAGTTGCAGTTGTGTCTTCGTCACTTTGGTTACGATGCTTCACAAGCAATCGATGCACTGTTGGCACGTGATGAGAAACTTCCAATGGCACTTCGTCGTCTAGAAGCAGCTGACTTAACTCACAAATTGGCAAACGCAACTCCAACATTGCCAGCATTATCATTCCAGAATGATGGTACGAATTTTCGCACTCTAAAAGTATACAAAAATAGCCCAGTTCTTTCGAAGCCGTTCTTTCAGAACTGGGTCACTAGAAGGCTGAAAGGAAACTGGGATGAACCATGAGAGAAGAGATCTTTTCGAGAGCTCAAAGATACATTGCACGATAATCCAGCTTTCGGATTGGACACGATCCCTTGCCCCCACGACCCTGAGCGTGTGATAGTGTGGCTGCTTAGATCACTCTCATCAAGGTCCCTCCCACGCGAGTGCGTGTCGGAAGACTGACGCTGCGCTGACGAATTACTAGCTGGCCACTTTTTAGCTAGATCACTTGGCATACTGGAGCACTTTCGCAAATTCTGTGTAAATCTCAATGCCGACATTGACATTTACAACATGTCGCGTCGTTGCAGCGTGAATTTTCCAACCGGCACGCCGCTCACGCACCCATTTGGTGTGTGGCCGCGCGAGTTGAACATAGCTCGTTAGCTCAACAGACTTAGTAGATATGTATAAGCGTTTTGAGTAGAGTTGGGTATATCGAGTTTTCCATCTGTTTTTTTTGCCCCACCTCCCCCTTTTTTAACTCCCCTTTCAGAACTTTATTGCAACTTTATGACAGCTAAAACGTTGAAGCACTAGGCTGAAACGCATCCTTGATATCTCAGTGTACAGCGCAGTTCAAACAAGGCGACCACCACGCTCCAAGTAACGACAGCGTCAGGTCGACTAGGAAAAGAATAAATTGACACCAGCGTCTGCCGGCGTTCCACAAAGGCGACCATAACAGCGTCCGGCCAGCGACTAAGTAAGCCTCTCGAGGCCTAGGAAGTAACAGGTAATCGACGCCAACACCGACAACCGTCTATCCAGCGTCCAACGCCAAGCGATTAGGCGCCCTTACAAGGGAAGGTGTCAGGGCGTGGTGCGCTTTTCAAAAACGGTTTTTTGCATATTGTGGGGGCTCATGCAAGGACCTGAAAAGTGTGCTTCATTTTCGCTGCGCGCTTCCAGGAAAGGTAAAAAACGAGTGAAAAGAAATCTGTGGAATCTGCTTCGTTCTGGGCCTCTATGCGGCCGTAGGTCACTTACAACTTTGACCAGTTGCTGAGTGGGGGGTCCTTATAAAGGGGCCGTTTGAATCGAAGCGAAAAATCGCCGTAAGTGAGCTTCCAACTTGGGTCATGTGCTCAAGGGTGAACGGCTTCTTGCAATGGTTTCATCAACGATAAGAGTGCTAGCATAGTCGAGCATCGGATGGCCTAGCGGATAAAGTGGAGGTTTCGCAATCGGACAGTGAGGGTGGGGTTGATGGTTCGGCTCCCCTTGCGTCGTGGCTTTTTGCATTTTTTAGATTTCGCTGTTCTCGCTTCCATTAGTGTCTACGCATGAATATAACTCGGATATTTGCCATTCATGGGCACATTCTGAGTAGTTGTACCTCATGAGTCTGTGCTATTCAACTATTTCGATTTTCACGCACCATTGAACAAGACTGTTGCTGGACGTTGTTCCTCATAGCCTATAATACAGCGAGGGCTGTTGCGAATTCCAGTAACTTTCTTGGTGTGGTGGTCAAGTTATATGACAGATTTAGGGGCCACATCTTCTTTCCAGTGAATTCGTTATGTACACCCATGTAGGGAACGTTCAGCGCTATTCTGTCGCCAAATTGCGTGAATGCCAAGAATAGGTGTTATATTTGTGATCAGGGCCACTGATTACCACTAAAAACGAATTTTCAGTCAAAACAATTGTTTTGACCTCCTTGGGGTTTGCTTTATTGGGTTGGGTGTCCGTAAGCGTCAACGATATCATCACTGTTGACGTAGGATGTGATAACTCGACGCTCACAAACTCGCTGGGACTCAAAATGGTCGGCCACCTACAACCCGAAAAAGTCAAAAAAATTTTCGCTCAAAACTTGCTCCTAGGGGTAATCGACAGTCCTGATCACGATTCTAGACTTTATTTTCGGTTCCAGTGCCATCTGGCACCGGCATAGTGCCGAAGAGCTGAGTCTGTGCATACTAACGAATTCGAACGAAAAAGCAGTTTTGCTCCATAAAAGTAGAAATGATTGTTCAGTTCATGCGTGAAATGTTTTTTCATTAGGACCAATTATTTAGACAAACATGGATCCAAAAAATGAAAAATTGTAGAAAAGCAAAATTTTGTCCTCGGTGGGATCCGAACCATCGACCTATTTTTTACGTTTTTTTTATTCGTAGAAGCGCGCAGCGAAAACGAACCTCAGTTTTCTGGTCCTCGTATGTGCCCCTACAATATGCACAAGACCATTTTGAAAAAGCTCACCACGCCCTGAACGACCTCCTTGTTAAGGTGGAGAGTATGGCGCGATAGGAGGTGGCAGACAGCCGGTAGAGTATTGGGAGATAGGAGGGTAGTACAGTGTCGCTGGTGGACGCTGGTAGACGCTGCTGGTCGCTGGATCGATACTTATGCTTCCTAGCAAGACGCCGCTGGTCGCTGGTGGACGCTGGTAAACGCTGCTAGGCGCTAGACCGATATCTGCCCTTTCGGCTGCGTTCGACAGCATCAGCGAATTGCCGAATGCTCGGAACACAATGATCGCTGGTTGGATGGTGCTGGTCGCTGGTGGACGCTGCCGCAAGAGTATGAACGCAGCTCAAGCAGGTGACGCATGCAGCATCCGCTTCAGCACCAAATCCAATCAGCATGGCCGCAACCCTGCGCCTCGATCTATCCCCCAAGTCAACTCATGCGATGCCGCGACTGGGAGATAACGCTCCGCAAACGCATACCGCTGACTCGTAAATGCTCGTGTACCTCCATTCCTGTCCTACAGTTCTTTGATGTCCGAGAAATTTCAAACATGGCTCGGGTACAATGACAGAACTGATAATTTTGGTGTTAATCTGCCTAAAAGGATAACATTAATCTTTTAGAGTTGGTGCTGTCGGCAATACCTCGACCAAAGGAGTCGTCAACATCTACAACTATGAGTTCAGTGGACGCAAAGGGAACTGAACCAAAGAATGTTTTCAAAGTAGGTCCATAAGACGAAAGAAGCCGTCTTCTTTTGTCGCCCTTCAATGCTCCCTTCGGGACAACTAGAAGAAAAATGACGAAAGGCTCATGCCTTGAATTTCATTACAGTCTTGTTCGCTGTGGATACTGGGGCGTGTCAGAGGGACTGGATTTGGCGTGGCGCCAAGCAGTTCTCTAGCAATTTTTGGAGCGGTAAATCTTCAATAAATGCTGGAAAACCTAATGGCGCCCACAAACCCAGCCCCCTGACACGCCCCATCTGCAGCGAACAAGACACCACTGGAACATCTCTTATGAAGTTCAACGTTGAATCAGAAAACTGCAGATTTTTGAGAGGTATTTCGAGTATGGATTACTGATCATTGAGGATCAGAGATACTACAGTCTCTTGTAATCAGAACATCTGTTCCAGCTCAGTAATTGTTCTTTTCCAGGGTCTAATAAGTCTCGCTCCGGAGAGACCTGCTGTGTCTGCCAGCACTGTTGCAGAGTCTCAAGAGGAGAAGCCTGTCAGCGAGGTTCGGTGGTTTTTGCTTCGTTGAAATCATTGTTGGCCAAATTGGATGTTGCATGAGTAGACCTGTAGCGAGCCTATTTCTCAGAGGCCCATTGTGAGATACTCGGGACTTTGCCGCTTACTTACCCCTTACTCTTTTACGAAGCGAGCCTTATGGCCGAAAGAAAGCTGATCAGCGATATGCTTTCTAATCTGAAGTAGTTACATTTCCATCGAAATCGCGATCCATTGAAGGTAATGAAGAAGCTTCGAGAAGCTTTGGAACGTCTGAAGGTTCGTGTATCCGAAGGCGATTTCGGCTACGATGAACAAGTTGGAGTGCATGGTGAACGTCTTATGCCGATGGCCACCTCAAAGACGTAAGTTGTAGGCAAGACCAACAATCTGAGGCTGCATTCGTATTTTGCGACTTGGGCTATTCATTGAGTCGTGTGGTTCGCATATATCGCTGCTACAGTGCTCTACCGCTAATCGTTGGACCACTGCAACTTCTAATTCAATCACGGTTGGAACAAGACACTTTTCATGCTTTGCAGTGGTTCTTCGGTTAACGATGGGGCGCTGCCG